AGCCCATCGCCTCCATAAAGGCACCATTGCCTAGTGGTTATGGTCGAGTCGCCTTCGAGCCAGGGACTGTGCAGATGACAGGATACGACCCTTCTCCCCAGTGCAAAACAGGCAGCCAATTGTGTGATGGCAGACTTCCCCCTGGCCTCCTTACACACACCCAGTGCCCACCCCCCACAATTAATTACTATTCCTCTCAGGTCCCGGTTGCTAATGAACCCGGTTGCTGAAGAAGGGATCACATTCATCCCTTAATGATCTCCTTTGCAGCTGGGGTCTTGGGCAGAGGGGCTTACAATGCAGACGACTCTTTCCTGCTCCCCCCACCCCCATTTTCTCTCTGCTGCTTCTAGCGGGGAACAAGGCCCACCTGGACAGGGGATCGGAACCGGGGAGGCTGTACGTGTGTCAGGAACACCCCTGGCAGTGTAAAGTCATTCCTCTCTTCGTCTTGCTCTCCCCAACATGTTGGAGAGGAGGTGCTCCAAAGGGCAAATCTCCTTTCAGGAGGAGGAAGAGTGTACACACACACACACACACACACACACACACACACACCACACACCCCTACCTCTTCACGAAGACTGATGACATCCGTGGCTTCTACCTCTTCTTTAAATTGGAACCAGCGAAGGCAGTGAATGCATACCCTCCAACATTTCTCTGATGAAAACAGGGACATCCTAAGGAAAAGTGGGACATTCTGGGATCAAATCAGAAACCGGAATGGCTTCTGTAAACCTGGGACTTTCCCTGGAAAACAGGGACACTTTGGAAGGTCTATGAATGTCCTGTGTGAGTCTCCAGAGGTGTTTGGAGGGTGGAGGGTGGCTAACGGATTGAGGTTGAATCCTGACAAGACAGAAGTTCTGTTTCTAGGGAACAGGGGGCGGGCAGGTGTGGGGGACTTCCTGGTCCTGAATGGGGTAACTGTGCCCCCGAAGGACCAGGTGCACAGCCTGGGAGTCATTTTGGACTCACCACTGTCCATGGAGGCACAGGCCAATTCTGTGTCCAGGGCAGCTGTCTACCAGCTCTATTGGAGACCCTCCCTGCCCGCAGACTGTCTTGCCAGAGTGGCCCATGCTCTGGTTATCTCCCACGTGGACTACTGCCATATGCTCTACATGGGGCTACCTTGGAAGGTGACTTGGAAACAATATATTGTGGAATGGGGAATGGGGGGGGTGTGTCTCCTGATCCCTCTCAGCTCCCTTCATAAACTACAGCTCCCAGAATTCTTTGGAGGAAGGCCCTGTCTGTTTCATGTGGCATCATGGTGGTTCTTTCTTTTTCCTTTTTTAAACATTTATATACCACCTTTACCTTCCAAGGAGCTCCCGGTGGTGTCCATGGTTCTCCTTCTCCCTATTTCACCCTCACCACAACCCTGAGAGGCAGACTAGGTTCAGAGATGGCAACCAGCCCCCAAGGCCCCCCAGCGTCCTTCAGGGCTGAGTGGGGATTCGAACCCTGATCTCCCAGGTCTTAGTCTGACCCTCTCACCACTACACCCCACTGGCTCCCTAGAGTCCTTCTGCTATTTGGGGCAGCTCTATAAACTGAGTAGGCAAATAAATATGAGGAGAACAAAATGTCACTTAGAGAAGGACCTGAAATATTTTCCTGGAAGCTTGAATTTGTTTTATTCTGGATTGTTTTATTTGGTGTTTTAAAGCACTGTAAACCGATTTGGTGTTTTCATGCACTGTAAACCCCACTGCAAAAGAAAAGCAAAAGTGCTTGCAGACATTCCATTGTGGCAACCGCAACCAAAGTTTAAGGTGCCATTTGGCAATTAGCTGATATACAGTGATACCTCGGGTTACAGACGCTTCAGGTTACAGACTCTGCTAACCCAGAAATAGTACCTCGGGTTAAGAACTTTGCTTCAGGATGAGAACAGAAATTGGGCTCCGGTGGCGCGGCAGCAGCGGGAGGCCACATTGGCTAAAGTGGTGCTTCAGGTTAAGAACAGTTTCAGGTTAAGAACAGACCTCTGGAACGAATTAAGTTCTTAATCCAAGGTAGCACTGAATCTGAGTTTCCGTAGCATGAAGGCCTGACAGTGTGACTTGGTATAAATTGGCTTCCTATATCCCAATCTAAATTAGAACAGTGAGGACTAGTATCTTATCATTTCTTTGGGGGAAGCGCAGTAGCTCAGCAGAGGTGTTTTGGTCCCAGGTTCAATCCCTGCTGGCATCTCCAGGTAGGAGGAACCCTGGGGAGCTGCTGCCAGCCTGTGTAGGCGATACTGAGGCCCCCTGTGGGGTCAGACTCAGCATAAGGCATCTTCTTGTCTTCCTACACATCCCACAGAGCTGCCAATTTGCTGGAACGCCTTCTGCTTCCAGATAAATGTGACAGGAGCGTGATCTATTGTTATTTTCTTGTGTGCGTTAGGAAGGGTTGTGTTTTGTTTTGGTATATTAATTATTCTCCCTTCTCCCCCGGCCCCCCAACCAAATGCATTTTACTGCCTCGCACATCTGGGAGATCAGATCTGCTATATCGTAGCCTCTGGCTTCTCTTCCACAGCTTAGAAAAATCAAGAGAGAGCGAGAGAGAAAGGAGGGGGAGATGAGAAATGGAAAGGGAAAGAACAAAGAGGAGTAATGCACACAGATTGCAGGCTGCTGCTCCTTCCTGACTCAGGGAGCAGGCACCAGCAGATTTTTTTGTGGGAAGGGGACACCGTTGCCAACAGGGTGTGTGCATGTGCAGTACAATTGCATCTTGCACCAAATTAATTTGCACGGTTTCAAGGTCAAAAGCCAGCTGCTTAAAACCGTGCAAATTAATTGCATGCAAAGTGGAGAGCTTAAAAGCTCATTTTTTTGCGCAAGCTTTTCCTGCCTTGCTTGCTGGGCAAGCCCCATTCAGCTCCTGAAGGTAGGGCTACTTGCGAGAGAGCAGTTGGAGTACACACGGTTTTGCATGTAGGGCCATCCCTAGAACACAAACCCCTTGCAAGATGCAATTGTGCTGCATATATTCGCATGGGTGTGATAGGCAGAGAGACTGATAAATGCATCGAGCTCCCATAGAAGAATGGTGCTGTGTGTTGGAGGGGGGGGTCAGTCTGGATGATGCCCTGGGTCCCTTCTAATTCTCAGAGTCCTATACCTAGCATGGCTTAGAATCTAATAGAAGATTCTGCTGCTGAAATAGCCAGACAGGTTTATTTGTTTTTTTTAAATATAGATTTCATAAAATTTCCATAAATTTCACATAAAATTCCAATACATAATAATTTGGTGTGGGGTTTTTTTTTGTTTTCTCAGCTTCCCACCCCATTTTCCACAGTGTTTATTTAATTCTATCCCTTCGCTGAGCCATATCTACAGTTTTTTATATCCTAACTGTAATATGATACTCTCTAATTCTTTTTGTTGCTCATAGTTCAAATCCTGCTTTCAAATTCATTGCATCATAATATTTCTTTAAATACTCTGAAAAAGGCTGGACGGGTTTCTTTGTAAGACAGTGATCTTGGCTGGCCACTTGAGAGTTCTCACCAGAACGCCCCCCCCCCAAATGAGCTATGGTCGCACAAGTTGTGAGGGTGCCCTCTGGACTAATGGGTGGGCATTTCCTCTGGCCCCCTCACCTAGATGCTAGGTAGAAAAACAAGAGCCAGAGTTGTGGTGGGTGAGAATGCTGTGCTGGAAGCCGGAGACACAGAGGACCTGCTTGCTCTGTGCTGGACCCAAAGCTGTGACTAATGGAGAAGCAAGATCTGTTAGGGTGCTAATGTGGCAAGTCTTATGCTCAGGTTGTGTATATGTGCTCAGCTGCTTAGAGCATGGTGCTGATAATGCAAAGGTTGCAGGTTCAATCCCCATACAGGACAGCTGCATATTCCTGCATTGCAGGGGGTTGGACTAAATGATCCTCAGGGTCCCTTCCAACTCTACAATCCTATGATTCTATATCCTAAGGCAGCACCGTCTCCGCTGACCTTCATTCCAAGGAATCAAACTCTGGGCAAATGCTCGGAACCCCTGGAGATAGTTCTCTGAGCAGTGGAGGCTGGTAATAATAATAATAATAATAATAATAATAATAATAATTTTTTATTTATATCCCGCCCTTCCCAGTTCAGAAAACTGGGCTCAGGGCGGCTAACAACAAATTTAAAACACTTAATTTAAAACGGCATAAAATACAGCATAAAATGTGAATAACAATACATTCAGAATTCAAAAATCAATTTAGGGGGCAAATCCATCCAATAAACATTAGATGATCACCAGGGCTAGCTGGCTAAATTAGTCCTATTTGGGCCAGCGAGGAGACCAGGGGAGGATTAGCTGTGGGATCCCAGAGCGGGTAATCTTCATAGAAAGGGGAAGGGGAGGGAAGGAAGGAGAATAAAAGATCAGGCTAAGTTCAAATTGAAAGCCAGGTGGAATAGCTCTTCCACCAGGTTGGAGCCATCACTGAGGAGGCTCTGGTGGAGGATAGTCTGACTTCCTTAGGGCCCGGGACCTCTAAACTATGATTATTCATGGACCTGAAGGTCCTCTGCGGGGCAGATGAGGAGAGCTGGAAGGGACCCCAAGGGTCATCCTGTCCAATGCAGGAATCTCATCTCAAGCATCCAGGACAGATGGCCGTCTAAACTCTGCTGCAAAACCTCCAAGGAAGGGAGTCCATCCCACTATTGAATGGCTCTTACTGCCAGCTTCCTCCTCTTCCATCTCAGCGGTGCCCTGGTTACATGCACAACACACATTTAAAGCCCGGGAACTGTAGTTTGCCAAGGGTGCTGGGAATTGTAGCACCTTGCTGGGTCAGCTGTTATTCTGTTTATTTATTGTAAGGTTGGTTAGAATAAGGTGGCAGCAACTGCCTTCCAAGGTCGACCAGTGAGCTTCACGGAGAAGTGTGGAATTTGAACCCAGAGGCTGCCCAAGTCCTAGTCCGACTCTTCACCTGCTATGCCACCATTGGCAATACCGTTCCCAGGATTCCTTGAGGAGAAAACTCAGATTGGTGGGATATCTCAATCGGTAGAGCATGAGACTCTTGATCTCAGGTTTGTGGGTTCGAGCCCACAGGGCAGGCAAAAGATTCCTGGGCAAAAGAACCCACCAGGTTGTAGGTTCGAACCCCATGTCAGGCAAAAGATTCCTGCATTGCAGGGGGTTGGACTAGATGACTCTCATGGTCCCTTCCAGCCCTACAATGCTGTGATTCTATGAAATGTGCTTTAAATGTGTGGCATGGATGTTGTTGTTGTTGTTGTTGTTAATAATAATAATAATAATAATCAATTAAATTTGTATATAGCCCTTCATCCAAAGATCCAAGGGTGATTCACAACAGAAAAAAATAGAAAATGAGAATACAAAATACGACTCTTGCAGGGAAGAGGAAGACTGGGGCAAAGGAGGCATTGATTAGCTCTGCCTATCATTGGCTCATGGGGCACCCACACCCACCCCATTCACTCTAATGGAGAAGTCATCACTGCTTTTAATGGATGAAATTGGTTGGTTAGAGCCTGGTGCTGATAACGCCAAGGCTGCAGGTTCAATCCCTGGGGACGGCTGCATATTCCTGCATTGCAGAGGGATGGACTAGATGATCCTCAGGTTCCCTTGCAACTCTACAATTCTATGAATTTTGCCATCCAAAGCCTTTACGGCAGTGCTGCGCTGCAGACCATCCATCGCAGTTTCACTCCTGGCCCAGCTGTGCAGGACAGAGCACTGCAGGGATTCCCTTCTGATGTGAAAATGTACCTTCCGAAATAACTCTTTTGGAAACTTTCCACCAGAAGGGAATGAAAAGACACACGCGACCTGGTTCTTTGCTCCTTCTGCCCCCCTTCCCCCCGATTCCTGCAGGTTTTCTGTCTTCCATCGTCTTTATAGACTGAATCATACATCTTTCTTTTTTACAAAAAGAAATGTGACCTAGTTTGATGGCAATTTTGCTCTTTCTTGCGGCCTAAAATAAAAAATTGCCATCACTAACCCAGCATGGATACGACTAATATTTGATCCCTGGTAACAGGAAAGAGAACTATTTTCCAAAGATGCTCTCACCACTTGATCAGAGCATTAGGAAGAAGGGTTCGGTCCTTTGCAAAATGTCAAAAATGTTTTCTTCCATATCACCTAATTGTTGGAGTGCTTGTGATAAGCTTGGTAAATTTAGGGCAAGTTTGTTGTCCAAAATTAATGTTAACTGAATGTTCTGATGATACCAATGTAGATAGAAGAATTGGTCTTATACATGATTTTGACACCCAACATAGTAATTGCAACCCAACGGAAAACAACCCAAAATCTCACACTGGGTGCTATAATGGAGAAAAGGATGCATAATTTGATATTTTGACAAGTATTAGAACATCCAAACAATTTTAATAAGATTTGGCCCGTCTTTATAACCTATACAGTGGTACCTTGGGTTAAGTACTTAATTCGTTCTGGAAGTCTGTTCGTAACCTGAAACTGTTCTTAACCTGAAGCACCACTTTAGCTAATGGGGCCTCCCGCTGCTGCCGCATGATTTCTGTTCTCATCCTGAAGCAAAGGTCTTAACCCAAGGTACTATTTCTGGGTTAGCAGAGTCTGTAACCTGACGCATATGTAACCTGAAGCATATGTAACCCGAGGTACCACTGTACAGCAAAACCATCATTTTCAAGACAACTCTGGTTACAAGCAAATCTGGAAATAGACTTGATCAACTCAATTTTGTTGTTGTTTAGTCCTTTAGTTGTTTAGTCATGTCCGCCTCTTTGTGACCCCCTGGACCAGAGCACGCCAGGCACTCCTGTCTTCCACTGCCTCCTGCAGTTTGGTCAAACTCATGCTGGTAGCTTCGAGAACTCTGTCCAACCATCTCATCCTCTGCCGTCCCCTTCTCCTTGTGCCCTCCATCTTTCCCAGCATCAGGGTCTTTTCCAGGGAGTCTTCTCTTCTCATGAGGTGACCAAAGTATTGGAGCCTCAAGCTTCAGGATTTGTCCTTCCAGTGAGCACTCAGGGTTGATTTCCTTCAGAATGGATCGATTTGATCTTCTTGCAGTCCATGGGACTCTCCAGAGTGTCCTCCAGCACCATAATTCAAAAGCATCAATTCTTCGGCAATCAGCCTTCTTTATGGTCCAGCTCTCACTTCCATACATCACTATCTTAAGGTCTGTCACATGAAGGATGGAGCAAGCTTGTTTTCTGCTGCTTCGGAGGGCAGGACCCGAACCAATGGATTCAAGTAGCAGGAAAGGAGATTCTGACTCAACATCAGGAAGAACTTTCTGACAGTAAGAGCTGTTCAACAGGGGAGCAGTCTTCCTCTCCTCCCTTGGAGGTTTTAAAGCAGAGGTTGGGTGGCCATCTGTCATGGATGATTTACTTGAGATTCCTGCATTGCAGGGGGTTGGACTGGATGACCCCTGGGGTCCCTTCCAACTCTATAATTCTAGGATTCTATGTCCGATCCCCAGGTAGGGCTGAGAGCTAAATGCTGCAAAGCTTCTTCCTTGCAAGGGAAGAAGCCTCTGAAACTTGCCATCATTTTTTTTGGTCCTTTTCTCTATTCAGTAGAGGGTAGGGGGGGTATCTTAGCAGGCTCCCCCCGCCAGCTTAACACACAGATATACACCACACAGCTGCACCGGCTTAGTTAGAGACAGAGACCCCTGTATATATATGTCACAACAGAACAATGATCCCCTGCCCCGTCTGTCAATTCATAAATGGCAGGAAATAGAGTCAGTGGCTTTCGCTATGCAAAGGAGGCCTATACAATCAGATAGGAAATGAGAGACCTCCACTCTATAGGATTTCAGAGAGGGCGCCCCGCACATCCTATGGAAATGAATAGGGGACTTCTTCTTTCACGAGGACGCTGCCAAAGGCGAGGAAAAGGCTCCCCTTTCTCCATTATTCCACACCCAGCTTTGTAGGGCGAGAGAAAAAGTGCTCTTTCTGTGCAAGCTGGTGGCTGAGGTTCGTTGGCAGGGGAAGGAAGAGGGTGCCTCCTCAGCATAACCTATATCCTGTCACCCAGCAACCCCCTCCTCTTGCAGCTTCTCAGGGTGTTTGCCTTCCCGCCCACCTGCTCGCCCCTGGTGAACTGATTCCTCAAGGTGTCCTCTCAGATTTTTCTTCTGAACTGTCAAAATCACTGAAATCACCCCTTTTGATTTTAATTGTCATTACAGAGGAACATTTAAAACAAATGTAGGTAGCTAGCTAATTTATAGACCCAGAAAAGCTTTCAGCAGGGGTCTAAAGCTATAAAGAAGCAAAGACGCCTTCTGGATATTAAGAAGCAGGGAGTTCCAAAGGATGGGCGCACCATGCTGAAATGTCTACTCCTCACCAAATCAGAACAAATATTATGTGCCATTTTGTAAAAGTGCAAGGCGTGCAGATGCACATAAGCCAAACAGGCACATATGAGGCAAGTAATAGAATCACAGAGTTCTAGAGTTGGAAGGGAACCTGAGGGTCATCTAGTCCAACCCCCTACAATGCAGGCAACTTGACTGATCTCAAGCTAAGGGTTTTCGTAACAGCTTGGACTTGCCTTGTGTCTTGGCCAACCCTTAAGTGTTGCAGCCATCCCATTACCCCTTAGAACAGGCCCACTGATATCCACAGACTTTTAACTTCATTGGCTTAATTAATTCCAATGGGCCTACTCTGAGTAGAAGTAGAATTATTGTATCCTATAGTATATTAAACAGAGGGTCATCTAGTGCAGCCTCTGCAAAGAAGGACTCTCAATGAAAGCATCCATGGCAGAGGGTGCTCTTCTGGTCTTTTTGCCTCCAAACCTGAGAGAGCTTGATCCAAGGGGTAGGCAACCTAAGGCCCGTGTGGCTGGCTGCATACTTGCAGGGTGGGGCGTGGGGGTGGTAAGGCCAGCAGGTCAGTGGTTAGAGCATGGGTAGGCAAACTAAGGCCCAGGGGCTGGATGCGGCCCAATCGCCTTCTAAATCCAGCCTGTGGACAGTCCGGGAATCAGGGTGTTTTTACATGAGTAGAATGTGTGCTTTTATTTTAAATGCACTTCTGGGTTATTTGTGGGGCACAGGATTTCATTCATCCCCCCCCCAAAAAAATATAGTCCAGCCCCCCACAAGGTCTGAGGGACAGTGGACTGGCCCATGGCTGAAAAAGGTTGCTGACGCCAGACCTAGACCTTGCACCTCCTTAATGAGAACTCCCCACAGAAATTAACTGCTGCCCTCCCTCCTAGTTAAAACTGTAAGTTGTAACCAACAAAGGCAGAGCGGGCCCATTGAAATTAATGGCCCCAAGTGAGTCAATTTTCCTTGTTTTCAAAGAACCATAGAATTGTAGAGTTGGAAGGGACCCCAGTGGTCATCTAGCCCAACCCCCTGCAATGCAGGGATCTCAGTGGGTCCACCCTGAGCTGGGCTAACACTGGGTCATCAGAGCCAACTCCTTGGGGCTGAGGTCCCTTTGCCCCTGAATAAAATAGTTGAGGGGTCCCACAAAGTGAATGGGCATTGCCGTTCAAATGGTGTGTGCGCACTGAGTCATGTGATCGATTATGCAGGCTTACTTGCCCCCCCCATTTTATTCAAGTTGTCACCCCTGCACTGGCTGTAACCCCATTGTCTTTTCGGGTGTCTATTCCTTCCTCTCTCCCCTTTTCAGCAGGACATGCAAGTCAAGATCTCTATTTGAAATACCCTTTTCACCTATGCAATCGTTACCTATAGGCTATATAGAAAGATAGGAGTAGAAGTGTTTTCAATTTTTTTTCAAATACTGAATTGCCTTTCATCGTTTCTTATGTTGTTGTTTTAAAAACTCCCCACTGTAGAATCGTTTCGAGACTGTTTATGGCAAGCCTAACCCTAATGAAAAATCAATACACCCAGATCTGGGCAGGCAAGGAGCTCCTGCAAACCTCTCTCCAAACACCCACGAACTTATTTCATATTTGTTTTGCAAAAGTTGCATGTCCGAGTGCTACTCGTCGGTGCTTTGATAGCTGGAAAAAGTGTAAGTGTAAGAGTGATACAGTGTGCGTGAGAGAGAATGTCTGTGTGTCTTTATAGGAACCCAAGCGCATGCGCATCTGATACTCTCTTTCTTCATCCCCCCCCCCCCCCCGCTTTCCCAGTTCTGCCTTGCGTTACCATCAGTCCCACCAGCAGCTGCTATTCCTCTCTAACTGGGCGTGCAGGTGGAAGAGAGAAAGAGAGCAGGAGCCCAGGCAGGTCGAGAAGGCGAGAGGGGAGAGGCGAGACCCCCACCCCACAACCATCACCCCCCCCCATGGAGAACCAGCGGGGCGCCACGAAAGGGTCCCTTCGACACCAGCCTCTCTGCAGTTTCCCCCCAGGCTGATCTGGGCTGCCTGCCCCCTTTGTTTCCAGAGCTGCGAGCGAGGATTGGCTGTAGGGAACCCCCCTTCTACAAACCCACTCACCCACCCACCCTGCCCCTCTCCTCCTCCCCCCTCCATCCTCTCCTTTGCAGGGGATGCTGCTGGTGGGGCTCAGCCCCCTCTGAGTGGGTCCATCTCCCACCCCGCACACCCCACCTTTGAAAAATCGCCCTCAGCCTCGGAAGCCGGTGGCACCGTCGCCTCCTCCGCCGCCGCTTGGAGAAGCGAGACAGGGCGAGGGAGAAGTCTTCTCTTCCCTGCTGGGAGAAGCGATGCATTCCTGCAGACTCTGAAAAAAAAAAAGGAGGCACAGGAGTGAGAGAGTCAGGTAGGGGCGTGTTTGTTTGTTTGTTTGTTTGTTTGTTTGCATTTTTTAAAAATAGCACCCAACCCCTCCCCAAAAACCAGCCCTAACTTCATTGAAAATCTTGTTTTGCAAATATTAGGATCAGCTGAATTTAAAATACGTTATTCTCTGATTCTGTCCTGGAGACCTCTGTCTCTTTTCCTGCAGGGATGTCATTTTATTTCACTTGGGGGCAGGATCGCTCGGGGGTTGAAGGATGGGGAGGGGGCACTGATGGCAGAGAAAGTGTGTATATGGGGGAGTCTCTCTCTGTGTGTAATAACTCGCCCCTTTGGGGAGCTTCTGGGGAGAAGCGTTTGTTTCCATTTGATATGGGGGGAGGGGGGAAACCGACCAGCTGCAAATCTCCAAAATCTGCCAGTCCCCAAAGGAAATGAACCCTTTTTTCTTTTCTTTTTTTGCGATCTGAGAGAGAATATGGGAGATCCTTGGGCGAAGGAGTCCTCCCTGTTTCATTTGGGGGAAGGGAGGGGAGGGAGATTCCTGCTTGTCCACTTCAAGCACCTGGAAACTGACCAGCTGCAAAAATTTGCAGTCCCCAAAGCAAACGAGTCCTCTCTGTCTCTCTTTTTGTTGCAATCTGCTAAGAGAATAGAAGTGTTTGGAAATGTAGGCTGCCTTTTCCCTCTGTGTGTTGTGTCCAGCACGGAGTGAAAAGGGACTTATTTTGAGGGGTGTAGGGGGGGGGAATAAGCTAATCCAAAGAAAGGCAGGGAAAGAATTAGAGAGAATTTTGGGAGTTCAGGGCTTGGCATGGTGTTAGCTCTGGTGAATGGGAAGGAAAAGGGAGGAAGGTGGAGCCCTTCCAGTTTAAAGCGTGTTGGTGTGTAAGTGTAAGAACAAGCTAAATGAAAGAAAAAGAGAACACTTGGCAGAAGAAGGGGTTGCCAGAGAGCAGGTCTGTTTTTAAAACACACACACACACACACACACACACACACACCCAACATCCTTTGGGAATCCAAACCCAGGGAAAGGCGAAGTGTGAAGGCAAGGAGTTGTGTGATAATGAGATGGTTAAGCTCTTGAATAATACAGCTTTACGCTTGTGAGAAAGGGAGGAGAGGAATTGCACAGGGGTGAAAACCTGCTGACATCTGGGTGTTGTGTGAACAGGGAGAAAGAGGGGGGTGCCTTGTTTCCAGGGGGCTGTGCAGAAGGGGACCAGCAGGTCTGGGAAAGGGGCGAGGAGAGGCTGGCGTGGAAGGGATGGGTGTCATTTGAAGATGACCACGGTAGTAGTAGTAATAGCAATAATAATAATATAAGCAGCAGCAGCGATAACAGGAGATCGTGCTTGCGACTCATGAGCTGGTGATCCAAAATGCAGCATGACGCGTGAGCTATGTGTGGAGATAGAAGGCTTTGTTGCTCAGTGGGAGGTTGGCAGAAGGTTCAGATATACCCGTACTTCTAGATAGGGCTGGGAAGGGTCTGGCACCTGGGAGAGTCTCTCCCCGCCCCCCAGCTTCCTTTAGCCCCTGTATGCAGACCCACAAAGAGTTGGCAGAGCATGAGATTCAAAACCTCGGGGTCATGGGTTCGCCCCACCTTGGGCAAAAGATCCCAACTCTACAATTTTATGGTTCTACGAGGACTGGAAATTTGCCTTGTTTTTTAAAAGGAAAGGACAGCAGCCCAGCGGGTTGGATCATCTAGGTAAGACCACAAGACCCACTGCCTGAAACGCTAGAGAGCTGCTGCCAGTCTGTGCTGACAATATTTAGCTAGATGGACCCAACGGTCTGGCTCAGAATAAGGCAGCTTCCTGTTCGTTCCGAACCAGGAGGACTGGGGTCTTACTTTGATGAGACGGAAAGGACCACAGCTCATGGGTGGAGCTGTAGAAGAAGTTCCTTGCCGGAAGCCCCAAAGAGCTGCTGCCAGTCAGTGCAGACGATATTGGGCTAGATGGACTTGGTATAAAGCAAGTCCATAAGTTCCCATTACATCAGCCCTTTGTTCACAAGCATGCGGACCAGCCTCCGTGTATGCCAAGGTCCCAGGTTCAATCCCCAAGGAGGAATGTGGGAGACCCCCACCCAAAATTCTGGAGAGCTGCTGCTGGTCAGTGTAAGTGATACCGTAAGCATGGATCCAATGACCTGAACTTGGTGTTGGGGTCCTTGTATGTTTCACAGATCCCAAGAGGGGAGAGGTCACTGTGGGGGGAGCAGTCAGGAAAAAGCACCCGGTGGGTGGGCTATCTTTATCATCCATTATCTTCCCTGCAAATGCCAACCGTTCCCTGATATGGGAGAGGGGAAAGTGGAGTATTTCCTAGACCCATAGAATTGCGGAGTTGGAAGGGACCCAAGGGTCATCTAGTCCAACCCCCTGCAAGGCAGGAATCTCAGCTGAATTATCCATGGCAGATGGCCACCCAACCTCTGCTTAAAAACCTCCAAGGAAGGAGAGTCCACCACCTTCTGAAGGAGTCCCTTCCACTGTCAAACAGCACTAGAAAGTTCTTCCTGATGTTTAGTTGGAATCTGCTTTCTTGTAACTTGAAGCCATGGGTTTGAGTCCCACCCTCAGGAGCAGGAGAAACCAAGCTCTCTCCCTCTTCCATGGGGCAGCCCTTGCATATTATTTTATTGCATTACAAGTGGTATATGAGTTTTGTGGAAGAAATAAAACCAGGAGGATAAAGGTGTTTAAACCTACTCTTTGTCCCATGGAGAGTAGACCCATTGAAACAGACACTGTGAACTTGTGGGTGTCCAACGAAGCTCAATGTTGGAAGATTCAGGATAGGTGGAAGAAAGGACTTCTTCGTGCAATTGCAGAGTTCATCTATGGAACTCCCTCCCACAGGAGGTAGAGACAGCTGCCAACTAGGATGACTTTAAAAGCGGATTAGGTGCATTCATGGAAGAGAAGGCTAAGGCTGACTGCCAGACACAACGGCTCTTCTCTGCCTCCAGGGCCAGAGGAAGCAATGCTTCTGAACACCAGTTGCTGGAAGCTGCAGGAGGGGAGAGCAGCTCTTGAGGGTTTCCCAGAAGAGGCATCTGGTTGGCCCCTTCGAGAAGAGGAGGCTGGACTAGGTGGGCCAGTGGCCTTATCCAGCAGGCAGGCTCTGAAAGCCTTGGAACCATGGAATTGTAGCATTGGAAGGGACCCCAAGAGTCATTTAGTCCAACCCCCTGCAATGCAGGAATATTTTGCCCAATATGAGACTTGAACTCATGACCCTGAGATTAAGAATCTTGGATGATGATGATCATCATCATCTTATGGAACCTCCCAGTCCAGAGGCAGCCTGTCTAGATTCCCAGGTTCTTATGGGTCACTGTGACAACAGGATACTGCAAAGCTTGGCCGCTTTTGCCCTGATCCAGAAGGCTCTTCTTATCTTCTGTTCATTTGCTTTCTTATTTCTTAAATCTCACTCTTCTCCCCAGTCCTAGCCAGAGGTTTCAGGCTGCAGGGGTTTCCAGGGACCTACAGATTGCCTTTGTTGAAACCAGCCTCTCTCAAAACCTCAGGGACGAAGGATTCCGGTGCTGGTGGAAAAGGGTCCCCTGAACACCCTTATTCCACAGTGTACAAGAAAGATGTGGGGCCAAGCCAGTGCAAAGGGAACTGTCCTCTGCACATGCCCAGAGGAACATGTCTCCGGTGGTTGCGCTGCAAGACCTGAGTTGGGAAATGGCTGCAGAGCTGAGCTTTCTAATTAAGGCTTCAGGGTAAAGTGTTATGTAATATCTATGTTGCTCGCAAGAAATTGCCGTTCTGATCCCAGCTCATTGAGATCAGCTGGGTTTATGTTGCAGTTTTATTTCAGCTGCCTACGCAGAAGTAACTTTTACTGAGCTCTGTGGGATGTGATCCCTAGTAAGCCTGCACAGGAGACTGAAGCCTCTGTCTTTGGTTCGATGTGAATCACTGTTGCAAAATGGGGTTTTTGCAGCAGTCAGGGCTGCCTTTCTGCTGTTTGAAATTTTTTAATATGCTTTTCATCTTACTTGTTGTGGCCGTCAGGTTTCATATTTGCAAAAGCACAGTGCTTCCCCCCCCCTTTTCACTCTGTTAGTCTGTGGAACTCCCTGCTGCAGGATATGAGATCTGGTGTGTTGTGGTTAGATTGCTGGACCAGGTCTCCTGTTCCAACCTCCAGGCAGCCCTGAAGCTCACACAGCCTTGCGCAGCCGAAACTCCTTCACAGTTTTATGGATAAAAACAGGGGAGGGGCCAGCACAGCTTAGATGAAGGCTGATATTATTATTTTTTAAAAGTGTAATAAAATGCTGGACAGATTAATGGAAGACATTACATCTATCAGCAGCCTTGATCGTTTTGGCTGATCTCCTCTTCCTGTTTGTCAATACCCTTCTTAAATTGTGGGGGGTTAGACTAGATGACCCTTGGGGTCCCTTCCAGCTCTACCATTCTATGATTCTGAGATCCACAGAGAAAATTGTGGTATATAAATGTGGTATACAAAAAGTACAGGGTTTGAGGGGGGGTCAAGGCACGACAGGCTCCAAAACTGTTCAGGACCTGGGACAGCTCCTCATGGATGCTTTCAGGCCCAACAGAAAGGCCTTTGCTGAGCTGAGCCTTTATACCCCTCAGAGAACATTTTATTTCATAGAATTATAGAGTTGGAAGGTCCACGAGGGTCATCCAGTCCAACCCCCTGCAGTGCAGAAGTCTTTTGTCCAACGTGGGGCTCAAACCCACAACCTTGAGATTAAGAGTTCCATGCTCTACTGACAGAGACATCTATTTATTTCTTGAGGTCAAATCCCACTTTTGTCCCACAAAGGGCTCAAGGTGGCATAGATAGCTCACCACTGCTCCTCACTTAGTTCCCACAACAACCTTGCGAGGTAGGTTAAGCCGAGATAGGCAGCAACTGCCCCCACCCAACGTCACACCCAGCCAGCTTCATGGCCGAGCCAGCGATTCAAACCCGGGTCTCTCCCAGGTCCTAATCCAACCCTCTAGCCACTACACCACGCTGCCTCTCTAGTAGGCTGATTTGCACATCAGGCGGTGGTTTTCCATTCGGAGGGTTTTCCAAAGAGTTCTGCCTATGGGTCGTTGGTGGGTCCCTGGGCAGGTTGCAGGGAGTCTTTGAGATCTCTGGAGTCGACGTATAATTGGAGCCCAAGGCTTGATAACCGGCAATGGGATGAAATCTTTGCACTAATTCAGCTGGTCGGATGTGCCAGGGGGAAAACGTCCAGATGGCCAGCGGCAATTAACTTTGGAACTCTCTTTAATTTGCAATCAAAGTGTTCATTGGCTAATTGTGACAATTCATCAATGGAACGTTTTCTAGTGGTTCCCTCCCTCCCTGCCTTATGCCAATCCACTCCAGTGACCGATAATCAGAGCTCTATGAAACAAGCTCTCCCTCAATGGATTCTGCAAGACAGCAATCATATCCCCGTTTACCTGGGAGTAAGCCCCTTAAAACACTCCTCTTTTCTTTTTGGCAAAATGCAACTTCCCCGCCCCCAATTTCATCTTCCCTTGTGGGATATATACAGGAAAAGAGGAGGCTCAGGAGTGAACCCTACACAAATCTTGAGGGGAGTCCCTAAGACGGTTGGATGGCGCCTTGTACGCCTCCTTCTGGCAACTCTTGCAGCCAGCTGGTGCCAAACGTCTTGCTCTGCTTTCCTTCTGACCCCCTCAGTGAGGCCGGAAGGGGGATCTTGACCTCTGGGCAGCCCAGGACCTCCAGACACTTTGCCCAGGTTTGCGCCGTGGGGAGGCCATTTCAGTTCTGCTAACACAGTGCTTTGACTTCACTCCTGTCTCTTGAGACAGGCAGATGCCAATAATCTCTCTCTCTCTCTCTCTCTCTCTCTCCTGTGACTGCTCATATATTGTGGGATTCACTCCCAAGAGACTCCGCCACAAGGCTAAGACCTCCCTGTTCAGACAAGCCTTCGGAAACTTTTAGCTGTGATTCCTGCATTGCAGGGGGTTGGGCTGGATGACCTTTGGGGGTCCCTTCCAGCTTTAGGATTCTAGGAACACTAAGGTCCAGGCAATGCTGACCATTCAGCTGCTGCAAGGACGAACTGGATTTTAATTGTTGGTTCTAAATGTGTCCTGATGTCTTTTAACTATTGCTTTCATAGAATCAACGAATCATAGAATGGTAGAGTTGGAAGGGACCCCTGGGGTCATCTAGTCCAACCCCCTGCAATGCAGGATCCTCAACTAAAGCATTCATGGCAGATGACCATCCAAACTCTGCTTAAAATCCTCCAGGGAAGGAAAGCAGTTTCCTTTTATTACTTTGAAGTTTGTAATGATGTTTCTAAGTGTTGGGAGCTGCCTTGAATCCCAACTTCGGAGAAAGGCAGGATATAAGCACATTAAATACAGAGAGAGAGAGAGAGAGAGAGAGAATCACTTGTCAATACCTCCAGGTGATTTACATAAAATATACATTGAAATGACCAATAAAAATGAGATATTAAAAACAAGTTAGCTTCACCCAAAAAAGTAGCCAGAATTAATATATATATATCTACAGAATTATATATATATATCTACAGAACAGAATACAGTGGTGCCTCGCAAGACGAAAATAATTCGTTCCGCGAGTCTTTTCGTCTTGCGATGTTTTTCGTCTTGCGAAGCACGGTCCGCCGCAACTGCACCTCTTCAAGCGGCTTTAAGAAAAAAGCGCAAGACGTTTTCGTCTTGCGAAGCAAGCCCATAGGGAAATTCGTCTAGCGAAGCAACGCAAAACCGAAAAACCCTTTCGTCTAGCGAGTTTTTCGTCTTGCGGGGCACCACTGTAAAGCTATCTTTTAAAAGGCATGTCAGGTGTACTTGCCTGAGTATCCTTGCTAAAGGAAAAAAAAAGTTTCTATCAGGCACTGAAAACAAAACAGTGAAGGGACCTACCAGGGTAGCATAGTGGTTAGAGCAAGCATCCCCAACCTGTGGCCCTTTAGATGTTTTGGCCTACAACTCCCATGATCCCTAGCTAACAGGACCAGTGGTCAGGGATGATGGGAATTGTAGTCCAAAACATTTGGAGGGCTGAAGGTTGGGGATGCCTGGGTTAGAGCATTAGACTAGGACTTGGGAGCGACCAGGGTTCAAATCTCCCCACTCTGCCATGAAGTTCACTGGGTGGTGGCTTTGGGCCAGTCCCTGCCTCCCATAGAATCAAAGAATCATAGAGTTGGGACCCCCAAGGTTCATCTAGTCCAACCCCCTGCAATGCAGGAATCTCAACTAAAGCATCTGTGAGTCTCAGCCTAACCTACCTCATAGGGTTGTTGTGGGGACTGCAGGTACACCACCTTGAGCTCGTTGGAGGAAGGAGCCTTATTGGTCACATCACTGGTCCAATTAGCTTAGACACTGACTGGCAGCAGCTCTCTGAGGTTTTCAGGCAAGGGATCTGTCTCTGGCCCTGAGACAGATCTGGTGGGGAATGAAACTGGGCCCTTTTGCATGCAGAGACAATGCTCTAACCCAGGATACCCATGGGTTAGAGCAGACTTCCTCAACCTCGCCCCTCCAGATGTTTTGAGACTACAATTCCCATCATCCCTGACCACTGGTCCTGCTAGCTAGGGATGATGGGAGTTGTAGTCCAAAACATTTGGAGGGCTGAAGGTTGGGGATGCCTGGGTTAGAGCATTAGACTAGGACTTGGGAGAGACCAGGGTTCAAATCTCCCCACTCTGCCATGAAGCTCACTGGGTGGTGGCTTTGGGCCAGTCCCTGCCTCCCATAGAATCAAAGAATCATAGAGTTGGGACCCCCAAGGTTCATCTAGTCCAACCCCCTGCAATGCAGGAATCTCAACTAAAGCATCTGTGAGTCTCAGCCTAACCTACCTCCTGGGTTAGAGTGTCAGATCAGGACCTGGGAGAGACCAGTGTCTGAATCCCCACTGGGCCAGGACACTCACTGGGTGACCGTGGGGGCCAGGCACTGCCTCTCTCAGGCTAACCAGCAGTTCTCAACCTGTGGGTCCCCAGATGTTGTTGGACTACAACTCCCATCATCCCTGAGCTCTGGCCTTGCTAGCTAGGGGTGATGGGAGTTGTAGTTCAACAACATCTGGGGACCCACAGGTTGAGAAAGGCTGATCTAACCTATCTCACTGTTAAATGGAGAGTCGCGTGAGCCTTGGAGAATAGCTGTGATTTCTTCAGCTGCGATTCCTGATTTGCAGCGGGTTGGGCTAGATGACCCCTTGGTCAACTAGCAATAAATATCAACAAATAAACGAAATGGTCCATTGGCCCTGCGATAATAAGAATTGTCTCATTGGGCCGGCCTGAAATTCCCAACTGAGCCAGAATCTCTCCCCCCGCCCCTCTCTCTCTCTCCTTCTCTGCAGAGTGGGTGTAACTTTTCTCCGTCTCGATTTCCCTTCAGTATGGTGTGAATTTGGACCATCTGCCTTTTGGGGGGAGGGGACAAGTTTGGCATTTTGGAATCGAGGCGAGGAAAGGTAGCACATGGCAACCGTCCGAGCCAAAAATGTAAATATCATCAAAAGAAACAGGGGATCCAAAAATGAATCTAGGTTCGGATGCAAAATTGTGGCTGGCTGCATATTTGCGGGGTGGGGTGTGGGTGTGGTGAGGCCAGCAGGTCAGTGGTTAGAGCATGGATAGGCAAACTAAGGTCTGGGGGTCGGATGCGGCCCAATCGTCTTCTAAATCCGGCCCACGGACGGTCCTGGAATCAGCGTGTTTTTACATGAGTGGAATGTGTCCTTTTATTTAAAATGCATCTCTGGGTTATTTGTGGGGCATAGGAATTCGTTCTTTTTTTCTCCTTTCCAAAATATAGTCCGGCCCCCGACAAGGTCTGAGGGACAGTGGACCGGCCCCCTGCTGAAAAAGTTTGCCGACCCCTGCCGCTAACCACTAGGCCAAACAGGTTCTAATCTTGGGCCTTTAAGTTCCCAAAGCTCTTATCCTACCTCAAGGTTGTCATCTGCACTAGCCAGATGTTTAACTGAGAGTCAATCACAGTCAGTCCATCCTTTGAAAAGTAAGACTTTTAGAGGCGTCCTGTCTCAAAATGGCAACTAGACATTCTGTTTTGGTGACTGCAAACTCGGTTTAATGAGCCAGTTGGCGCCTGGTTTATACATCTGAATTTCTAACCCTGGGAGAGAGTCCTCTTGTGCTCAGCTCCTGCTTGTGGGTTTCTCAACTGGGGCGTCTGGGACGCCACAAGAATAGGATGCTGGACTCGGTGGGGCACTGGCCCCATCCTGCAGGTGCTTATTATGGCTGTGTCATTTCCCCCACAGCATTCTCTGGACCCTGGTGCGAATCTCAGTCGAAAGGGCTCTGCAACTGCTCCGCAAAGAGAAGGGAAGTTGCAGCAAAGCTTTGCGTAGGGTCTGGAGAGAAGGGGAGGGGGGATATATCCGGTATCCTGCCAAGATTTAAATTGCATTTTATGTGAACCTAATCACCAATCACCAGATTGGCATATTCATGAGTGCTATGAATTATTCAAGTTGTAGCAGATGTGAGGGTGGTGTGTGTGTGTGTGATCTCCCCTCTTGTCAATTTTGCTAAAGCATGGGCATGCGCTATTATCATTTTTAATCTAATGAATATGCTCTCTCTGACCTAGCCCAAAGGCTAATCTGGCTTTTCAATGTGATTTTGTGCCAAAAACATGCCAAAATGGCAAATCCTTTCCTCAGGATGGGGGGGGGCAAAGGGGGGGTGCTGGAGCAAGAGCACAAATAGAGGGAAAGCCTTTATG